TATTTGACTGTAATTCAAAGTACGAAGTACAACGGCTCAAAAAAAGTACTGTACTTCCGAAAGAAATACGGTTGGTCACATTATTCATACATGTACATATCGTCGTTTAAAGTTCAAAACCGCGTATAAAGATAATGCAAAACCGCGTATGTGAGGTTGCATAAATTATTTTGTAGAGAGTAAAAACATTCATATTTCAAAATGGTTCTCTCTTTTATAAAGCAATCGCATTTCTGGCTATTATATTTTTGAGGACGAATGGATAAGGCTTGAGGCAAGAGCTTCGGTGAGCAAATCCAATTTTTGGCAAAAAATGTCAGTTACGCGGTTTTGTGCTTTAAACGACGATATGTATATAAAAATTTTAATTTAGAGGTATGAATGTATAAACATCAAATTTTCAATGACTGATAAAATAAATCGCAATTGCCATTTTTATTTAAATAATAATGTTTTGGCAGTATTTAGACATTGAAAGTGATCTTATCACATACCGACAACTGACGCATATGTACTTAATTACATACTCGTATGTGTTTGAAATATAGCAGTAAAAATTTCACTTGGCCGGATGTAGTACTTTTATAAATAGTACTTCGTTGTAGGTAGGGATGTTGATTTTTTCGCCTTTTACCATACCGAGATTTTCGAGATGCCCTTATCACAATCCCATGATTTAGATATTCATTACTTTTTAACAACTTAAATTGTAAAAATTGCGTCTATATTGTTTGAGAAGCTCTGCTACCATAAAATAAATAATAAATATCTGGGTTTGAAACCTAGTTTTATTTAAAGAGGCGTTCTTATTTCTTCTCTCTGACGTCAGTATTTATTCCAAAAATCATTTTAAAAAATCAATGCAATGTAGAATAAAAATAAAGAGGAAATTTCTTTAAAATTTGGAATAATTAAAATTTTTTGAATTCACAAAGACGAATAAATAGGTAACTTTTTAAGCTGATAAAGTTAGGAGTATGTTATCGAGTTTATATCAGTCCTTAATATAAAATATTTTTTTAAAAACAAATTTTCCGAAATTTCAAGGATACAATTTTAAAAGGACATTTTCAATACACCAGTCCTATGCACCAAAAAATTTAATCTGTTTAAATTCTTCGGAATCTCCTCTTTTATGTGATAACCATACTTTTTCTCTAAGCGCATTGCACTGAATTTTTTAAATCATTTTTGAGTTACTGACGTCAGAGTGAAAAACTAAAAACGCAAATTTCTTTATATTTGGTCCCTGGTCTCGCGAACATATTGATTTTTGTTTGTAATATTTACAATCGGACGGTTTTATATGTAGACATTTATAAAAACTATGAATTATCAAATAAAAAAAGAAATATAGCCAATACTGTTGAAGAAAGGAGTTTCTATTATTGCCGGGATCCCGGGACTAACATTCCTAGTTGTAGGCCATCATTCAAAATACAAAAAAAATTATAATTGGGGCTTTGTACCACGATTTTGCTTATTAGGAAAAATGGAAAAAGCAACAAAGTCTAAGCGGTTGAAGTTATAGCAGCTATTTCGGAGATCACCACATCTCCTCATCAGACTCCTTTTTTTAAAGACTTCAGCAGGGATCGAACCCGCGCCAGCGATCTGAAGCGTTAAACTTGACAGCGCGGTTGTTGTTGTCAGTGCTATACATGCATTTGCTTTGTCGTATAGTTTTAGGCAGGCTCTTCCTGGCATGGTTTTCATTTCTTTTACATGCATACTACATACATAAATATTTACATATTAACACACTTTCGTGCGAAATAATCATTAATTTTGTATAAAAATATAACAATTTATTGAATAAAAACCACGTTAATACGATTTTAAAATTTTAAACAAATTCAAAAAATAATGTAAACAAAGGGGTGCGCTTCTCTAATGACCAGTAGTAAATGAGGTAATGGTATTTTTAGAAAAGTTTTGGGTGGAAGCAAAGTCAACAAAACAAAAAAAAAAGCCAAAAATCGACGGTATTTTGTAGACACTTGAAACATGCACTTTATTGCATAGCTACTACTGCATGCGCTACACATTTTTCTAAAAATTTTCAGATATTGTCGAAAATTTCTTGTTTTTCATCATTTTCGTATAAAATTTAGATCCGATACATACATCCAACGCGGAATCAAATTTGCCGCAACAATATTGAGGACTGCGTTGCTGGAGTTGGACTGATGAGGGTTATTTTCTTGAAGCACCGCCGAAGGCCGAAAGGAGCTCTGCTCAAAAATACAGTGGCGCCTTATATATGTAGTTTAGCCTAGGCAAAACTAGTTTGTCCTTAGATCGTGTTTGGCCGGCAACATATACAAAAAAGGTGCAAAATTTGTATAGATATGATTACGACGACATATTCAAACATTTAAATATACATCAGTATCGTAAGCAGGGAGGTTTACTAAATTAAGTCGCAAAGGTTCAATATATTTTCGTTATCTGCTATGTGGACTTGCAACACAATTCAAGGCTCTCTAGCTTATTTATAGCTTCTTGAATGCCGTCACACATGCTTAGATACCATAATTATTTACAAAAAAGGAGAAAAATCGTAGGCAAAGATGTGCACTAGGGATGTTAATTTTTCGGATTTTCCAATCCCGGGATTTTCGGGATGTCGTTATCACAATCCTGGGATATTCATTACTTTTCAAAAACTTTAATGGAAAAAATTGCTTCTATATTGCTTGAGAAGCTCTCCTACCATCAAATAAATAATAAATAAATGGATTTGAGACCTAGTTTTTTATTTAAAGTGGCATTTTTATTTTTTCTATTTGACGTCAGGATTTATTTTAAAGAACTTTGTAATTTCAAAGATATGATTAATTCCAAAAGTTACTTAAAAAATGCAAGGCACTGCAGAACAAAAATATGGGTACCAAATTCAAGAGAAAATTTCTTTAGAATTTAAAAAAATAAACATTTTTTGGATTCACAAGGACGAATAGGTAATTTTTTAAGCTGATAAAGTTAGAAGGAAGAAATTCGAAGGTGTTATCGAGTTTATATAAATACTTAACATATAATTTTTTCAAAAGAAAATATTGCGAAATTTTAAGTAAAAAATGTTAAAAGTATATTTTCAATATTTCCCAGTCCTTCTGCACCAAAAACTTGAATCTGTTTAAATTCTACAGGCTTTCCTCTTTAATTTTATACCCATACTTCTTCTCTAAGCACATTTCTCTGAATTTTTTAAATCATTTTTGAATTACTAATATCAAAGTGAAAAACTAACAAGTAAGAAAGTCTAAGTTCGGGCGGAGCCGAACATTAAATACCCGGCGCAAGTATTAAATATATGATTTTCACCTTTCTAAAAGCTACCGCTACATGGTAAGCCGGGTGTATCAATTTTGAGTAAATTGGCGTCCTTAAACTGATTTATCGAAGATTTCGTATTTCTCCAAAACACCGTTATATGGGATGTGGGCGTGTGTATTGGCCATTTGGTATGCTGTACCAAGGCTAACAACTGTGCCAAGATTGGAAAAAAGTGGTGCAGCATGTAACCATAAGTGGGCGTGGCTACGCCCGTTTTCCAAAAATTTATAATATTATTATTTTTCGTCTAAAAATTATGGTAAATATCAATTTTGAGTGAATAATCGTCAGTAGTTACTAAAATATCGCAGTTTTCGTATTTCTAAAAATTACCGTTATATGGAAGGTTATTGTCCGATTTTGCCCATTTTCAACACCATCCGTCCTACGCCCGAAAGAAGTGTACGTACAAAGTTTTGTCAAGCTATTTTTTAATTTATTGTGTGCACAGACGGACGGACGGACGGACAGACAGACAGTCAAAGCTTAATCGATTTCTCTTTTCATTCTGATCATTTATGTATGCATTTGTCTATATCTATCTCGCTTCGTTTTGCCTGTTACAAACAACCGTTATATGAACAACCGTTGTGCACAATTGCGCTCGGGTATAAAAAGAAATATACCAATATTGGTCAAGAAAAGGAGTTTCAATTATTGCCATCAGCAAAAATTACTAATACCGAAAATCCCGGGATTATTTGCCAAGCGTCCCGTGATTTTTGGGACCTGAAAGAGGCCGATATTCCGGGATTAACATTCCTAATGTGCACCATTTGAACAAAAACCTATTAAAATTAAATTTGTGTTTTCACTGATTGAAAAATCACTAATGGCAATTTTCTGCTATCAGTGTAGCGCCTTGCCTTGCTTCAAACACGTGCCGTTCAAATGTACAAACTAAAAACTGCAGTCAGATAACATACAAAGTATCATGACCAAGGATGAAGCAAAAAAGGGGGTGTTAACGTAAGGAAGAATGCTACACACTAACCTACACATTCTCACAAAATTAACAAAATGCAACAAGAAAGTGTCAATCATGTGTGTATTTCATATGTCTGGTCTGTCATAAGGGTTTCCGGCGTTGGCAAAGAGTAATTTTCAAATCATGTCAAATAACTATGAAGTACTGATAAGATTATTTCGTGAAGGCAAATAAATTAACCGCAGGTATCCGCTATAGTTGCTACCAAAGAAAACATTAGTTTAAAGCAAGTTAAAAACGACGCTGAGAGCTAAATAATATATCTACATAAGCTATGAAAAAAAGAGGTGAGGAGCGAAACCCCCTGAGACCTTCAGCAGCTAATTTGGCGCCGTCATATGCACATACATACATACTTATATACATATAGTAGCAGAATAATAAGTAGATAAATCAATTCATTGTGAGCAAACTTAAAATTCAAGCACAAATAAAGTCAGTAATTTAGTATTTACTTGATTTGCAAAGGTTTATCTTGTATACTATATATTACTTAATAGCTCTTCTGGCTCTTATATAATCAATGATAAGAGTTTAATTATTCCATTCAGTATTTGCTTACAGTATGTGTGTATGTATCTCTGCATTATGCACAATTGTAAAAGTCTGTTTCTAAACGAATTTAAAATCTAAACTAATAACTTATTTTTCATTATTTGCATTCTTCTTCTAGACGGAATCCCTCAAAATCTCTACAGATTCGGACTTACATGATTGGTTTATGGAACGTGATATGAAGGATCCGGCTGTAATGATCTTAAATGACAAGCTTATGTCAGATGCTTTATTTAATTTGCAACCCATCAAGTCAGAACACTCCTACAGTTTGAATAGTGATGGCGATTCATTGCCGGATTCACCACGCAGCCTGCAAACGAAAATGGATGGTGAGTTTTTATAATACAGGTGTTTAATTGGTCATAAAGTGCTACAAAATTACTAAGTAAATACGTAAAAGTTTTTGAGTTATTCAAACGCAAACAAAAAATGACTGGAACCCATAATATTTATTGCTTATACGTAACTTAACTCTAAAAGAGCAGGCAGACTTGAAGTTCCTTGTGAGCAGGGTTGCGTGATTTTTAGTCAGTCAAATCCCAAATCCAAAATTAAAATTGATATCTGAACTGAAAGTGGTACAATGCATGTACATATTCTTAATAATATAAATTTATTACTTGTTCGGCGAATTAAATCTGGAAAAAAATTTTTTTGTGGTTTGTGATAAAAAACCAAAAAAAAATAAATCATTTAATTTGTTATTTGAGCTGTCGAACAAATCATTTTTTTCGTGATTTTCCAACTGAAAGATTTTTTTTTATGTAATGCCAGCACGGTTTTCGAGAAAATAAATTTTATTTCATATTTTGTTGTTGAATCAAATCACAAAGAAGATGTCTTTGTAGCCCAAGGAATTTTTGTACAATTAAGATCTGGAATAGCTCTTTTTTAAAAGAGGGGAAAATCTAGTTTGGGTGTAATTTTAATCCAGGGTCACCATAACAATTTTGTTTTTTTGAAATTTTCTCAAGCTTTTTGTTCACGGAATCAATGATTATAGACTTAACTTAAAATTCCTAAATGTAGCGGAAAGACACAACTTTCCGCTATTCAACAAACATACGATTTTCAGATTCCATTGAAAACTGTCCGATTTACGACCGGTGTTTCAACCCAAGATTGCGAAATATAATTTTTTGATCATACACAACTTACGATTTTGGTTGTTTATTTGATATTCTGCTAAGGCCAAAATTATTTTTTATACCTGTTCTACCACTTCTACCATGATATAAAAAGTACATGCAACGTTGCTTTTTTTTGTAGCACCGTGTTTTCTTTCAATTTCATTCATATCATTAGCACTCGACAAATATTTTTTTTAGTAATACTGGACTCATCACATGTTTTATTAAGTGCAAATTAGCCCCATTATTGCAGCCTTGTTGCAGCCTTCGTAAAGAGGCGGAGCTATGTAAAAATATGATGTGTATTTGTGTGCAACAAAGGTTATCAGAATTACATAGAAACTGTGATTTCCGATTAGGAGATATTAGAGTTGTTTTGAATCAATTATGCGGGTTCACTAGGCAATTACTAAAATACATGAACTAATACACGATTCAATGAATTTACAGCACATACTTAATTCAATACATATGTGTGTATACATATGGATATGTATACATATACGACATCTAACTATGCAAAAAACACTAAAAATAAGATAATTACAAATGTCTTTTCATTGCTTAAGAAGTTTCATTGATTTCATTGTTTTCATATTTTGGTGAAATAGGACTCTTAGCAAAAACAAAAAAAAAAGTGAAATATTTCCAGATTGCATGCATTTAATGTTAAAAATCAGTACAAAGTTTACCCGTTAGTATAGTTTTTTTCTAACAGTTTCTAAACATATTTATTCCTTTGGATTTCTTTTAAAAAAGCGACATTCTGCACAATATTTTAAAAATAAAAAATACCTGCCATGTACACTTTGTTTGGAAATTGCGCATAAAAGAAATTATTGAGCATAAATAATTTATACATATATAGGCTTATGTACATATGTATGTATTTCAACATTGAAATCGTATGCACTTTATCGCAAAGCGCCTATCTCTACACTGCTGACAATTTGCTGCTTTTAAGTTTCGCAACAAAATATTAAATTTTACACAAATTGTCGTACTTTTCTAATGTTTTTTTTTTTTTTTTATTTACACTCTCTATCGAACTAAATGGAAATTGTTCAATTTGTACATATGTATGTACAGATATACGTATGTATCAGGGATGTTGCGAATATTTGCATTCGCATTCGTTATGCAATAAAGCTCAATAAAAATATTAAAAATAAAACTAGTTCATAGTTTTTCGCTTTTTACTTGTAAAATAAACATTTCTAAAATAAATGTAGTTTTTGATTATTTTTCGGTTTTTGTCTTCTTTTGCTTTTTTGCGAGTTCTAGTGCCTTTTCCTGCCTATTTCGCTAAATTATTTTGGATTTTCCAGACTATTTCGTTATTTGATTATGCCTGTTTTTATAGGTTCTTAGGTCCAAAAAATCCGTTCCCTGCTTATAAGCAACCTAGAAATAATTTTAAACTCACCCAGCGTAAGCGAAGACTCGAATGTAGAATCTGGAGACATTATAAAATGAACTTATCTCGGTGAAAATCCCCTCGATTGGTGGAAAACTAAACTAAAATACGAAAAATTGACAGATCTGGCCCGCAAATATTTGTTCAGTGCAACCGGCCTTATATACGAGCCTCTAAGAAATCGTCTCATGGGAGAAAAGGCAGCAAAATTACTTCTTTTTTTCAAATATAATATGCCGCTTTTGAACTTTGGCTATTAGATTAAAACACTGTATAGGTTAAGCACTCGTTCAATGTTCTAATGATCATATATTTAAAACATCTATATTGGCAATAAACTATCAGCGCAATGTGTTTGGATCAGCAATCAAAGGGAGATAGTTTTGAGCCAAATGTACGTTTTGCGCATGCGCAGGTTTTTCATGCATTAGTTAGGGGATTCACAAGACGTGTTAACCGTCGTAAAATCTTAAGCTTAACACTTGTTTATGTAAAATAGCGGTTAAAATGGTTGGGGGGTTGGCTAATTATATATTCTTTATCAGTTTAAAAGAATTTCGGTTTAGTTAGAAATCCCCTAAAACCATTTTAATTAAAAAAGATGTTAACCTTAAGATTTTACGACGGTTAACACGTCTTGTGAATCCCCTAAATATCTGTGAACATATATGACGAATCCATTCAGGCAAGTTTGACGTATCCTCAGTAGGGATTGAAAAAAAATTTTAAAGGGATTATTTTACTCTGGGGTACTTAAGCCCTTTTGTTGACGTTGTTTACTTATACAAACTGAAAGTTTATGATTAAAATTTTATTTTAAATTAATAAAAACCATTTTGAAATTTTTTAAAATTAGTAGCACTTAATTATTTTGGAATGTTTAGTTCAAACATATTCTTCCATTTTTCGCTGAGTACAAATTTACTAACCAACCAGGTAAAAACGAATAAATAACTATACAGACTCATCAAAATTGTAGTGATCTTTATATAATATTATTTTTTATAGAAGTAGATCTGATTATCTAACACAAACTATATAAATCCAAATTCTAAACCTTGTGCAAAAATTTAGAAAAAAATCAACAAATTTTCATTAGAATTGCAAACTATTTAGCTAAAATTTCTAGAAATACGCATGTAAAGCTAAATATATTATTTAATGTGTGCCCTTTTTTCACTTAAAAAGCATCAGTGCGATATTTATACAATTTAATTTATTATAAAACTCATGAAATTAAATAAGGTACTGCCACTGTGATTGGTTTTAATTTCAAGTTTCATATTTTACATACGATTACTAGGTTTTCGTTTTCTTTTTTTATATGTCTGTACTGTAATGTTTGCTGACTGCACTTGTAGATATGTACTGCCAATATAGAAGTATTACATACATATGTATATGCTAATAATTTACAAAATTTGTAAGTAATAATAACGATAACTTAAGTTGATTATAGATTTTTTAATGTTATTCCTAACATTCGCATTCGCATTCGCATTCCGAAAATTCGCATTCGCATTCGCAAATATGACATTCAAAACATCGGTAGTATGTATGTATTTATATGGAAAGTGGAAAGCAAATTTATCACGATATTCGTGCGGATGCATGTGTTTTTGTCACAATCACTAGCCAAGTGCAGTGAGGCGGTGAATTGATTGGGACATTGCTTGGGTAATGGAGTTTTTTGTGTTTCATTTATTTACTGTTTAATAATTTCCAGTGCTTCTACTCTGACAGCATTCAGCAATTCGCTATGTACTTCACTTTATTATTAGTTTTTGTTTCTGGTAAGGTACGAAATTGTTAACAATTATACATGTAGCAGCGCTGAATAACTGTATGTAAAAGTACAAAAAATAAAAACAAAAGGGCGAAGTATCAATTCGCTGTATACTATACTTTAAAGTTAAAACCAGAGCGCGTAATTATTATGATTTTATCAAAAAAAATATATATTTAATCATTATTTTAATATTTTAAAATTTGCGATCAATGGGAGATAATAATATATTGCATTGTATTGTTTAGAAATAAAAATTATACATCGAGTTATGTTTTTTTTTTATTAAAAATAAAACTCAATTTTCGAGTAATATTTCTTAGATCTAAATAATCATTATTTTAAGTGTTTTATTTTTCATTGATTTTTATTTTTATAGGAATTAAGTTTATACTAAAAACAAACTATTTTTAAAGTCTAAATATGACGAAATTGGACCATACATACTGGCTTACCAAATATATCTACCCGTGCGTCACCTATCGGCAAAATTTTTAGTGAAGTTCTTCCTTTTCATTCAATTAATATACGTTCTAAAGAGATTCCCAAACTTGATTTTCTCATAGACCCCTTTCAAAACTTTACTGGTTTCGGCGGACCCCTGCTGCCCTTTCTAACATATTCCCAAAGCCCATCAAAAAATGTGAAGATAAGATCTAGCGATGAAAATTTGCATCGTGGGTGAGTTACAAAACTAATTCGGAGTGGCAAAAATAAAAATTAAATACTACACACCTGCACGTTAAGAAAAAAAAAAAAACAGAGCTCGTAACCCCATGAAAGTACTATCTCGCCCTGAGGAGTTATATTTTTTAAGAGCACTCCATAAACTCCTCACATGTTCGGCTCGCTCCTGAATTTGTACATTGACACACTGGTTCTCTATTTATGTGTTAGTGATGATGGAAAAATTTTGTACGTGTATTGTAGTTTCGGTCACTCGCGTTTTGCAGGGGAGTTATTATGTGAACGATGTACAAAAAAGAGCCCAACGAT